GTGGAGGCAGGAGACTCGCTTGAGCCCAGGAGTTGGAGGTTGTTGTGAGCTCTGCCACGGCACTCTACCCAGGGGGACAGCTTGAGACTCTGTCTCAAAAAAAAAATAATAATAATAATAAATAAATAATAAAAAGAAAAAAAATTAGTTTCCCAATTTCTACCACCTTCTTAGCATGGGGACTGGACAAATGTAATAGCATTTCTGACCCACCACATTCCCATGGCTGACACTGCTGTGTGGCCAGCGTGCCCAGAACAACCAGCCCAAACAAACTCCCAAGGGTCTCCTGCCTGGGTGAGGGAGGCAGGGGTAGCTGGGATAGTGCTGGGGAGGCCACTGTGGTGTAATGACATGTCCTTGATGTGGAGGAATCAGGGAAAGGGTAGCAGGTCCAGCAGCCTAGCCGCGTCCAGGGCTACAGTCCACCTCTCCACAGTGCCCTGCTCTACAGCCTACTGGACGCCAAGCTTAGTGACCAGTCCCACCCCAGGGTCATCACAGTCCAGGGCAGTCCAGAAACAACATCCCAGTCAAGGACTTAATAAAAATGAGGAGCCAACAGCCCCCTGTGCGCCCGCTGTCTGCCACTGCGCTTTTTCCTCTGGTGCTTTCTCAGCAGCCTTAGCTCCTGCCTGGGATGTGGGCAGAGTGTGGGTCATACCTGGTTTCGGAAGACCCCACTCCTGGGACAGGAGCCAGATGAGTTGCTATTCTCCTTTTCTGTCACCTCAAAGCACAGCCAGGTGTCCTTCTGACCAGTTCTGTTGTGGAACTGGTTGTAGAATATATTTGGAGATATTCCCATCATCGGGTCACTAAAGGCCCAAGAAGAAACGTTAAAACCAGACCGTCCCCAACTCCCTGCATTCTCAGATCTACTGAGCCTCCCCCAGCCCTGCATAGCCCTGAGTGTCCCCTGCCTTCTCAGGAACTGGGGAGAGAGGGAGAGATGCTCTGGGCTGAGAGGCAGGAGAGATGGAGGGGAAGGAGGGGCCCGTGCTGCCTGTCCCACAGCCCATTCCTGCTGCTCCCAACCAGGGAGTTCCTGGGAGCAGACACCCCACGGAAGTCTAAGGGGAGACCTGCCTCATTCTTTCCTGCAAAAAAAGGGGACGATGTGGCCTGGCCAAATAGGCCCAAGTTGATGACCCTGGCAGCCAAGGAGCATGAACACAGATCTGGGCCTCCCCTCTTGGGGGAAATAGGAACAGAGAAAGCATTGCCCTGGACAGCCAGCAGAGGCCCTAGGGACTGGACCCAGCAGCCCTGAGAACAAAAGAGGGGCCAGGTGTGTGCCACGTTCTGGTCCTTCCCACTGAGAAGGCCAACATGGGAGGCAGCAAGAGGCGGGAGGTGTGGGCGCCTGGTGTCCCCAACCTGGATGCTGCACATGCATCCCACCCCCAACTCCGATTGCTTTTCTGTCTTCTGCATTTGCCTGCCCAGAGCTGCACCCGATGGGCTGAACTCTGTCTACCCATGTCACAGAACAATGGTGGCAGGGGTCCCAGGTCACCCTATACAGACCCTGCCCAGAGCCTCTCACAGCTCCCTCCTCTGTCCTAAACCCAGGTGCTCACTCCTGCTCTCCCCTTCCTTTGGGGGGCCAAGCTGCCTTTCCCTGACCCCTCTTATTCTTTGCTTCCCTCCTCCTTTCTCCTCTTTTCTGGAAAAGCTCTGAGAATCTCCAGGTTCCTCATGGTCCCCAAAGCTACTTTTTCTCCAAAGTTTTATGTGAATGTAAACTTGCCCACTGAGGGTTTTCTATCTGCTCATTGCCCATCCCAGCCCTAAGCTTGTCCTCACCCAGAGCTCCATCTCGGGGAGGTTTGACAAGGGGACAGGGGTGACAGGAGGGAGGCCTGGGGCTAATGAGGGTAGTACTGAGGGGTGAGGAGCAGCAAGGTCTGGATGGAGAGGCTGTGAGTATCAGGTCAGGAGCCACCTGGGAGACAGACACAGGGAATATGGACCCTGCACTCCCCAGCCAGGCTCCACAAGGACCCTCGGTCATTGGCATGGCTGAGCCAGGTCCCACACAGCGTTTGTGTGCTAAAGCCCTAACTCCAGCAATTGGGAGTGTGGCTGTGTTTGGAGACTGGTTCACTACGGAGGTGAATCAACTAAATCGAGGCTGCCAAGTGAGCTGCCATCCCATGTGACTGGGCCATTTAGAAGAAGAGGAAGTTCTGAGGCACTGAGAGGCTCCTGAGGGGCAGGTGCAGAGGAGAGATCACTAAGGACACAGTCCTAAGTGACCATGTGCAAGCCCAGAAGAGAGAGGCCTTGAGGACACCACCCTGCTGACCCTGTGACTGTGACTTCCAGCCTCCAGAACTGGGAGGAAAGGAAAGTCTGGCCTGTGGCATGTCCTTGCATTCACACCTGAGAGGGTCATATTCATTCTCTGTTACATCAGCGCTGCCCTGATGCTTCTCAGAGTTGCTGAGTGTCACCTTATACATTCTCAGACCCATGTGCCTTCAGTTTGCTGACCAGGTTTGGTGATTGTGCCCTGTTGGAAGGAGCCAGGTCAGGGGCTCTAGGCTGGGGGCTGGAGGTCGGTCTGGAGGCAGAAATGAGCCTCTTATAGGAAGAGCCCTGGGCTCAGCACCCATAGCTCAGCTGTTAGGGCACCGGCCACATGCATCGGGGCTGGTGGGTTCGAACCTGCCTGAGCCTGCTAAGCAGCAATGACAACTGCAACAAAAAAATAGCTGGGCATTGTGGCAGGTGCTTGTAGTCTCAGCTACAAGGGAGGCTGAGGTAAGTAAGAGAATTGCTTGAGCCCAAGAGTTTGTGGTGGTTGTGAGCTGTGAGGCCATGGCATTCTACTGAGGGTGACGTAGTAAGACTTTGTCTCAAAAAGAAAATAAAAACGGCTTGGCGCCTGTGGCTTAAGTGGCTAAGGCACCAGCCACATACACCTAAGGTGGCG